GTGTTAATATCATATTTATTTATAAAAAAATATTATGCCTATTTTTCCGAGCCCGTCAAAAAACTGGCCTATCTGCCAACAATGGGAAACTTGTAAAATAGCCTAACTCTACAAGTAGTTCATGATTTACATGATCTGTTTACTGTAACACCTGCTACACGTCATCTGCGAGATGCGACATAAATACCAACCCCATCTTTATTTTATCCATCGTTTTTTATATTTATGCTCCCTATCCTTTGTGGACTAAGAAGCATCCTTATCGACAAGAGATCAAGTTGGATGAAACAAGAAAAGACAATCGGGAGAAGGACAATAAATCGATTATATATATATATATGAGTATCCAATTAGTTTTATATGTTAAGATATGTGTGTTTTGTGCTTCTATTTTAACATATATAGACAACAAGAGATTTTTTTTTTAATCATGTTTGGACATCAAAGACAATCAAGGTGTAATTAACTTATTTATATATTTGTTTGTTAATTTTTTTTGTTTTAAAATTATTTTTGAAAAAAAAAATTGAATTTTTTCTGATCATTTTAATGTGATAATATAAAAACTAATTTTTTAATAATTTTGTTTTAAAAAAACATTTTACAAAACAAAACCACTACTTTAGTACTAAACTAAACTAGCTACATAAGGATTTAAATAATTCATTAACTTTAACATGTTATCGCAAGCTCTGTAGGGATATGAAATAAATTAGGTGACGAATGCATAGTATGGTTTGGCTGTGGATAAGCATTACAATTATGCATATATATATATATAGAAAACAAGTATGAGTGCTTGCATGTAGTTTTCAATGCCATAGCTTATGAATAGTATATATTACCTAATTTTATTTTATTTTTAACAACCATATTGGATCATCACGAGTATCTATAATTTGTGTGTGAAATGATAATATAAGTCGGCAATTGGTTGAATAACGGACCTACCCGAGCATCTTCTGTAGATAATACCAATATATGGTTGGTGAAATGATATTTTGTAGTTTATATATATATACACACATATGTATTCCATCTTCTTTTTCACTTGGAAGGGTCAATGCATAGAAAGTCAAATGCCAAGGAAGACAGAAACATGAGAGTCGAGACAACAACAGTTACAGTCTTGTTACATTAATGAACACGCAATCTTCTAACAAAGTCGACATAAAAAACTATACTCGTGAAGTTGCCTCACCGAAGGAAAAACGTAATAAAAACAAAGTTGCTGAAAAAAAAAAGTTTTACTAATAATCACTAATAGCTCGGTCCTCATGAACACATGAATGGGAGGCAATTGCGGCCATCAAGTAGTGATTTTCTTTTTCATAGCGATGTGTAGTATCTTTAGATTAATTTTCCTAAATTGAAATTCCTCACCGATTAGATCTTAAGTGTAACAATCATACTCGGATAAGTACTAAATGATTGGTTTGCCATAAGATGCATGTCGACCACTTTTTTTAAATGTAAAAGTAAATTGTTAAAGCCTCCTGATATTATTCGGCAATGTAATTAAACTTTATCCAGGTATTAACTTTATAACCTTTTCATTTAATTTGTTTCATTATTTTTTTTTATTGTTAAAATATGGCCACTCAACAATTTTTGTTTTTTTTCCACTCTTATTTGATGACCTTTTCTTCTCTCTCACACCTAAGAATTGAAAAACAAATATAATAAATTTTTGGACCAAAATTAAAATTCAAAACCTATATAAAGTGAAAAGATAAAAAAAAAGAATACATGACCATAAAAAAATTTATAAATTCAAACTATAATGATAAATAAAGATATATTATTCATAAATTTGATTTGAAAGTTAACTTGGATTAATAAACTAAATTTTAAAAATAAATAATGTTATTTAATTTTTAAAAAGTAAATGGATTTTTTACTAAATTATTGGTTAAAACAAATCAATTTTTAAATGAAACTATTAAAAATTGTAACGGTGTTGTATGCAAGAAGAAAGTTGGAGCATAGTTGAGAGGATATAATGAGGTTGTTGTTATTATAGACACTAAGATCTTATTTATTCAGTGAAAAGTAATTTTTTAAAAATTATTTTTTAAATTTTTTTATGTTTGTTTGTCATTAGAAAGATTAATTAATAGAAAATATTTTCCAGTACAAAACTTTTTTACCTTAACTTCCATAAAAATGTTTTTCTTTTATTTTGGATGGAAAACATTTTCTGAAAGTTGTGAAAAATTTAAAAATATCATATTATTTGCTGATTATATTAAATTTGATCCTCAAACTTTTTATTACTATATATATATTGTTTTGAATATTTTTTTCAATTTCATCTCTTAAAATTTGATTTTTATATTAACTTTGATCCATATTTTTATAATTGTTATTTATTTTTTTATTTTTTTAAAAATTATCTATCAAATTTTGTTCTAATTCTTTTCATTGTTACTTATTTTATTTGAAATAATTTATGAAATAGTAATTATTATTATTTTAATTTTTTAATTTACTAGATTTGATCTCTATTATTTTGATTATTATTTATTTTATTTGAGATAATTTATAAAATTATATTTTTTTTCAATTTCATTCTCATTCAACTTTTTAATTTATAATATTTGTTCCTTATTATTTTAAAAAACTTGAAAATAAAATAAAATATTAATAAGTTATTTTTTAGTTTATTTTTTATAACATAACTAAATATTAAAAGGTGCTTTCTAACTTATTTTTATTATACTATCAAATACTAAAAAATAATTTAATTTACTTTTCTAGAAATTAATTAAAAAAAACCACTATTTGCCTGTGAAAAAAACAATAACGAAGAGTCAACTCCAACCGATCTCAAGATAAATGTATCATAAGAAATTTCAAAGCTTGCGTGCGCGTAGAATCGGTGGTCTACCGACGACTTTTACCACCGTGTTAACTATTAAAAATGACTACAAATCAGTCCTCAGGCTTGTGGGCTTTAACAAATCGGTTTCTAAACTTAAAAAGCTTGCCAATGTCTCCGAGACCTTCCATGGTTTATCCCTTTCATTTTTGATCACCATAAAAGAATGCAAACCAGTTTTGATGACCAATTTTCTTTTAATCTATTAAAAAAACCCTTGAAAATAATATTTGAATTGTTAATAAATGAAATAACAATAATATTCGATCAAACCTTTTCTTTTTTAATTTTTCAATGCTTAAATACAGTTTTTGTTCACCATAAAAACAAAAAAACAATAATATATTTGAATATGCTTTTAAGTTTCCAAGTCTTGTACTTTTCATGTTTGATTCTAACGACGACCTAGAAAAATTGCATGAATATTAAATTAAAAAATTAATATACATTCAAGGATATAATGGACTTAATTAGAGATATAAATATAAATAGGAGAAATATTTCATCATACAGGGGATAGATTAAACCATTAAAAATCTTATTATGAAGGTGGATTAGGGAACACTTGGAGGTCAAGCTGGATGAAGGAGGCTAACTCCATATTTTAGGTGTTTGAGGTTAAAGTTGAAATAAATTTTGGATTGTTTCTAAGATGATTTGAATTAGAGAACAAGGCATCTAAGGATTGAGTATGGCTATGTGTTGAGACGTTAATATGTTGTGCAAATTCTAAATTTAAAATATTTAAATTTTTAGAGATTGAGATGTTTAAAATTAAAGCTAGAATTAAATTTTAAACATCTAGATATTGAATCAAGTGGAGAGTTTAAATAATATAAAATTAAAACATCATTGTGTCTGAATATTTATGAAATTTGCTCAGAATTTACAATTATTAGATTGGATTAGTCTGACTAACTAAAAAATTAATGAAAAAAAGATGATTAAAAGTAATAATACAAGCCCCCTAAATCTTCATTTACATAACCTATTAAGTTAAATTAAATGGCTTTATTAAACGATTTTTTTCTTTATAAAACCAACAATAATATAAATTGGATCAATGGTGAGGTTCTTTATATGTTTTCCTTTCCTATCTTTTCCTTAGCAAAAAGTTCATCTATGCAAAAACAATATTTTTATTGTGTTTACAAATAAAATTATGTTATATTATTGTACATTTTATATAGTCAACAAAAGAATTTTAATTTTTACCTTGAAAATATAGCACTATGCTTGAAATATAATATTATACCAGTGTATTATTACATTTGTGTATTTAACATATTATATTCTATTAAATTTAACTATCTTACAGAAATAAATTGACAGAACACACAAACACATTAACCCATAATTTTTAAATTCAATTCAGGAGTTGACTTGAGGTGAATTCGAGATGAATCTTAGATCATGGATAAGGTGGATTAATCAAAGTTACATCAAGTTAATTCTTCTCCTATCGGCCCGCAATCACCAAGTCATAGATCAACGTATTAAAATATTGCGTTATCCTCCTCAAAGATTCTACAGTTTGCAAGATTTTGAAGATGGGTGTTTGATTTGTCAGAAACTATATAATGTGGGGACTGATATTCGCTTATCCATATTACAAAACCAATGTATATTGAAGGAGCCCAATGTATATTTTCTTGAGAAAGAACTTAGCTGAATTATCTTCAGAACTCATTATAAATAGACAAAACCACGCCAGACCGAGACCATTTACGGTCTCACACCGATGCAAACAAGACTCCTCCTCCTCCTCTCGTTTTCCAAATCCGGGTAATGCGGAGTCCTCGTGTGTCAAGTTTGTTTTTTTTTTTGTTGTTCTCTTTAAATTTTTAATTTTTTTGTTTCCGTCCCAATTCATTGTCTCGATGTTTTGTCTGAATTTGATTATACATGTAAAGACACAACAAAGAGCTTGGAAATTCTCAACTGGGTATCTCTTGTTTTGTTCTATCTTATGTTGTATTTTTTTGTTTTTGCTTATGCTTTTGCTTTTGGGTTAATTTTTGGAAATTCAAAATGGGGTTGTTTGTTTCATTGTTGCTCGTGTTTGATTGGCTGGCTCTGATTATGTTAAGTCGGCTGGGAAGATTTTTTTTTTTTTTTTGTGATATATAGATTGAATGTGTATGTTTAATATGGAAAATAGGTTTCTTTCCTTTCATATTTTTATTTGTCTCATTTTGTGATTGGTCCGATGGGTATTTTCAATATTAAAGGTAATTTTATTGTCGGAATCTGGATTTGATAAAAGTGGTTGATTGGTCCAAGTTTTGAAATGGGCTTTGTTTTTATTTGCTATTCTCGTCTCATACTTTGATTGTTTGCTTTCTGGTGCGTGTAAAATGGGCATTTTTAGGCAGAATTCAGGCTCATTTTTTTCGTCCTTTTCTTTGGTCAACTAGTTTTGATTGCTCTGATGGGTACATGGCAGGGAAGGTTGTTTCTTGCAAAACCCTGATTAATTTTTTAGCATTTTCACGTATATTGCCTAAAATAAAGATTCAGTCACATTGATGATGGTGGATGAATTTCTGTAGAAGCATTATGTTCGGCAATTTGAAACTTTCTTCTAAGTGCATATAGCTCATCAAGTCAGGTTATTCTGCACGGTTGTCTGTCAATTATTTAGCTTGTAACATGTATTTTTTATACTGTTAAGTTTCTTCATTCCATTTTCTTCTGGCTACCAAAGATGTCTTAAGGTTGATAGCATAACGGGGCAACAAGTTTGAAAACTGTCGCCCTGTTTTCTAAATGGTGTTTCATGTCTTATTTATGCTTTTATTGCAACTTTTTTTTTTTTTACCAGAAGAAATGTCTTTTGCTTTCTCAAATCATATGTGATTTTGAAGGGGTGGGCTGAGAATAAAATTATATGTTAAGCTGAAATCTATTGGAAAACCAATTAACAAACTTCAATAGAGCACTCATGAATTTGCACACACTGAATTTAGTTCTTGGCCAGTGTTCTCCATGTACAATAGGCTACTGTACATTCACTCAAAACCCTAAATCCGCCAAAATTCCTTCTAGCATGTTTAAGTTGAAAACAAATAACACAGCAACTTCTTTCTTATAAAGTGTTATGTTCAGTTGTTGCGTTGGAAGTGGTCAAATTTAGACAATTTACATTTGGTATGTTGTGCACTAGATAGCTTCCCTATTAATATATATATATATATATATATATATATATATATATTTTATTTCTTTTAGCACCGATCGATTCCAAGTGGGCTTCTGAACTTTTCATATCAAGATCCCTCAACAAACTCCAATAAATTACTTAATAGTTTTATAGTAAGTTAATGAATACACGTTAGCATGCAATTATGTTTGCGTTGAACATTATTAATTAATCAAGCTCATTCTTGGAGATATTAAACAAATTGGAGATGATTAATTATCTTACTTTCACACCATTAATTTAAGAGCAGATGGTATTGATTCTCGAGCAAAAAAAAAAAAGATTGATGATTATAAAGTTTAGTTTGATTGGGAGGTCGGCATGTTTTCTCAAGAAATTTAAACATTAATTAGGAAAGATTGTAAACAAATTGTTTTTTATAAGTGCATGAATTTAAATATGAGTAATTTACTTAAAATCCGATTAAACAAATGATTTTCAAGGTGCTGAAAATGATTCAAAATTATTTCAGTTCAGGCATATATCTATTGCTCACAGTTTCACTCTGATGACTTATTTTAATGAATTGTAAAATTGCTGATAAGATTATGGATTGTTCTTGGCAATTCAACGTGCTGCTGGGGTGTTGATTCTGCTCGGGAGTCGCAGTTTCGGTCCCTAATCTCGATGTTTCAGAATGTTAATGAACCTTTACTCCTCGATGGTGATTTCGATACTCTTTTAAGTCAACAAGAACAAATGGGAGGCAATCTTTGTGACTCTACATGAGCAATGTTTATTTTTATGTTTGAAATTGTATTTGAATTTATTTTAAAAATATATTTGATTTAAAAAGATATTAAATTGATATTTTTATATTTTTTATGATTTTTATATGGTAACATCAAAAATAAAAAAACATATATATATATAAAAAAAACAACATTTTCATATATTTCTAAACAAAAATTATTTTCAAAAAATATTATACATTACAAAATCAAACATTCTTTCATGATTCCACAGGCTTATAAATATGTGTTATGATAATTATGCTTTTACTTAGAATAA